AAGGAGGAGGAATGTGCTTCAGTGTTTTGGGGGAGAAAATGGAAAAGTGAGTGAAGTTTAAACTTGCCTAGAACATTAGGGGTTGATTTTATTTAAATATGTAAGAACATCAGGGGTTGATTTTGTTCAAATATTTAAGCCTTCTGTGTAAAGTAAGTAAACTGTCTCCTTAATTATGAAGACTGAAGGGAGAACAGAAGATTTTAGAACAGTAGACAATAGAAACTGCCAGGGATACAGGAATGGTACCTCTAGATTAAATGCCTTGGATTAAATGCAAGATTGTAACTGCAAAACAGGTTGGGATTATTAAGTCCTCTGCCAAGTCTGTGTGAGTAATATCAGTAGAACTACAGTAAGAAAAAGATGATCTCAAGATCTTGGAAGTGAAATGAGGAAGAATAAAAGTCAAGTGGTTGGTTTGGGGGGTGTGTGTGTGTGTGTGACATTATTCTTGGCTGGTGGCAGGCCCTAGAAAGCAGGAGAACTGAGTAGCCAGAGGGAGCGTGTAATTGGCTTTGAAGCAAACTGCACCCATTGTTTTAACAAAATACTGGTTCTAGGAGGACGATACGAAGGAGGGCTAGGCAAACAGGGCAGTGTTGCATCTGTCAAGTAATGGAGGTAACATCCCTGATTTGGATGCTAGCATAAGGTAATACTACAAGGGAAAGTGCTAAAGAAAAAAAAAATCTTATCCAATCCTATGTTGTTCATAAATGGAAGTCGCATGTCCGTCCGTTCCGCCGCCCCCCCCCCCAGTCTTGGACACAAAATTCAGTGGTTCACATGTCAATGACTACAAAATTAATACCTAAGAATTCCACTGAAAATACATTTGGTAAAATCAGCATGATTGAAACCTGTTTGGATAACTGTACTAAAAGAATATAAAACTAGGTAGCTATTTGTGTTTAGGAAGGATGAATAGATGAGAGAGAACTGGACTGTGATCCCAGTTTGTTGCAGAGTTTTCAGTAACTTTGAACCATGGGATATCAAGTAGGTGAGGATCATTATGCTAACAGCGAGGTCTAAGTTTTGGATCCAGTGCAGTTCTGTTAGAAACCATCAGAGCAAATGTGTTCAGTACCCTCATAAGCATATGTCTACAGGTATTTTGAGGATTTTGTTTGGGAGGTCTTATGCAGCCAGTTCTGACACGAAGGGTGCTATTTCTTGTACCATGATATTTTAATGTTGGATCTTCTTTGGCTCATCGGATATGCTTATGATATAGACATGAATTACAAGATTGGAAGTTGTTAATAGACTAAGTGACCACATGATCATGATGGGTTTAATATCAGTATGAGCAAATAGTGTCTGAACTGCTGATAGATACATTTGATGTTTCAGAAGGATTTCACTAGGACTAACTTACTTCCCAAAAGCTGAAGCTGAAGGGGGAGAAAATGAGCAGCAGTTCTTGAGAACAGGCAGAAGGTGATGGAAAGTGAGATTCTTTGTTGTGTTTTTATTAAAAAAAGCAAAAAAACCCCAAACCCAAACTAAACAAAACCCAACCACCACCCAAAAAAAAAAAACCCACAACACCAAAAAACCAACAACCACAAAACTCCCTGAAATACTGTAGTCTAGGATGAGGATGAACGTAGAGGGAAAGGCCCCATCCAATATCTGGCAAAATAAAGGCACGTGTTCATATTATTCTAGGTTGTTTAGTCAGTCATATTTCACAACAAGCATGAAGGGATTAAGGGAAATCACTTCAGAAATTGTGTGTATAAAATATTGACAATAAAAGCAAAACTAAAGGGATGGATGACTATGCAGAAAGGAGGAGAAACCAAAACCAGGAACCAGTCAGTCCTCAGTGATTAAAGGAGAGATATTTGAAGAAATGTTGATTTGGGTAGAAGGTGCTTTTTTTGGGGTGGTTTGTTTTCAAGCAAGCTAAGTCAGAGCCAGGCATCCAGTGTTAAGTCTCAGAAGTATGAAGGCAATACCACATTTGTTCTGACAGCATGAGAACCCATGTTCTACTTTGCCATATGGCTTTGGAGATCCATGTAGAAAGACATTAGTAAAAACCGCTGACCTGAGCAGCCTGTTAAGTGCAAACAGAGTTTGGGGTGCCTTGATCGTTCAGAGAACTCTGCAGTTCTGCCTAATGTTCTCTGCCCTGTGCTTCTTGGTGACTTCCTCAAATTCCTCCTTCTGTTTCTGTTCATCTCTTTACTTTGTGCCTGTCAGCTCCTTCTTGCGCCCCGCTGCATGCTCCTTATTCCCCCTTGCCTTTCCGTTTAATGTCTCCTAAGTAACCTTTTCCAAAAAGGCAGCAAAGCCATGAAGTGTAGTTCTTGTTGCTGTCGCTGTGTTTGCTCTGCCTGTGTGTTTTGAGTGTAATGAATTTAAATTAAACGTTATGAGGGTAGTAACTCCTCAAGCTGGTGAGCCTGGAGTTCTTCTCCAAGTCTAGGGGGTTAAATGAGTGTTTCTCTGACCTGGCAATGTTAACTTCTAATAGTCCTAGAAGGAGAAAAGTGTTGATCTGTACCAACATTTGTAACAGCCAAGCCCTGTTAAATTATATGGCAGTTAACCTAACATCCATTACTGTAATGGAGTAATTCATAAAATATTTATCAGTTGGCAAATTAAAGGCTAGAGGTTTAATAAGTAGCAATTGACAAGGTTTTATGGAAAATATCACCATCCAAACAAACCTGATAATTTGTTGGTGAAAGAAGCTGTGTGAATGTATTGTTAAAGTACTCATTAAATAGAGGAATTGGCTAATTGGTAATCAGCAATGAATCCATATGTCTCTACTCTGATTTCCAGGGGATTTCCATCCTGTGTTTCTCCATGGCAGTACTGAACTCTACTGCTAGCCTAAAATAGCAGTCTAATGTTTAAATACCAGATGTTAATTGTTGTGAATTGCCGTATCATTTCAGCTCTGACGCTCCCGTAAGAAGGCTTGCTGGTCTAGGTGAATTCACTGTATCCAGTATGAAAACAGCAAATAAGTGCTTGGTGTTTGATAAACTCTGATTTTACAAGCTACAGTAGATTCTAAAGAGAGACTGCAGAGTTAGACAAAAATAGTGGAAGAGCAGATTTGAAGGCCATACTTGCATGTCTCAGACCCTCTCTTTGTTTCTGTTTGTGTAGGCTCATGGAAATGTCCAATGTTAGGGACCTTTGAAGGTCATCTACTTCAAGCTCCCACTTGAAGTGCCAGTGTCCCCCGTGCTAGATCAAGTCACTCAAGGTTTCAGGTGACTCTTGGAAACCTCCAGGGATGGAGAAGCCACCCTGGAATCTCCTCTCCCCTCCCTGTTGCATAGGGTCTGCATAATTAAACTAAGGCCGTGTATTGTCCAAGATAAAAGGAATAAAGAAAAGTGATGCTGAATGGCAAGTATGATTTGAGTGAGTAATGAAAATAAGGAAAAGAGAAGGTTTGAAAACTTGGGTCTTGAAAGATGGACCTCAAGTCCTGTGCGACTGTTAGTGTCATTGAGGAATGCCTCCCTGAATGTGTCTGCTTTTACTACCAGCAGTTATTTCATCCTAAGTTTCAGCATGAGCAAAGTCTTGGGAAGGCTTGTACCGATTTAGTTGTAGCAATAGGAGGTTTTGTGCAAGCAGAAGTGTTGTGTCTCTCTGGCATTTCTATGGTATCAGTTAAACCCAAAAAGTAATGCTAGCTTTGTGGTGGAAGTGTCAGAAACTAAAGCTGCTTTGCCTGCATGATGGTTTTTGTACGATAGAACTGGTAATAGAGCAGATAGCAATATTTATTAGGAGAGACTACTTCATGCTCTCTCACAAGTAGCTTCGTTGTACTAGGAAGTAACGAGGTCAACTCATTGTCCCATAGGTTAGGAGCTTAGTTTTTTCTGCTTGGAGAAACTTAAAAATAATGTATAACAAAATGTCTGCAAAGGTGTGAGGGGTTTTTTCCACCCTATAAATATCAAACTTGCAAGCCTAGTGACTGATTCACAGTTTGAAGGTTATTTTTGCAATAAAAAGGGACATAAGCTTATGTGTTTTTAATTAAAGCTTGGATTACATATAATAGAGCTTGAAAACACAAGATCTCTGACAGAAGGTGTAATTCCTGCAGAGACCATCAAAGTTTCTAAATTTTGGATATTTTGTCTTTTAATATCTTAAATTTTTATAATTCCAGTGAAAGGCATGTGAAATAATCCTTAGGAATCCCTGTGTTCTAGAACGGCTACAAAGTGTTGATTTTTATATATTTGTTAATGAAAGGAATGAAATGTTTTTCTGAAAGTGTTAAAATACTTCTGAGTATTTCATCAATTCAAAAGTATTTGTTTAACCTCATTTTTACATTTGCAGTTTTTTCTGAGATAAGGAGAAATATGAAATTGTTGGTCTCAGAGTAAATGGCAAGAAGGAAGCACCTTCCAACTTTCTAAACCAAAACAGCATTTTCGGGACTAATGTTAATTTAATAAAAAGTGCTCTGTACCGTTCTTGCCCCCAGTGATTCTTTTGCAATTTGTTTTCAAGGTAGAATTGCTTTTTAAGGCTGCTTTAGTGATATTAGCCTCCTTATGTCATGTGTAGCATAATCTAGACTTCAATGTTTCTTAAAATATATGTAGTCCAAATATTCCTTTGTACAAAACATTGTATAATATCTAGGTTACGTACAGTATCAAGTTATTAATGTTGATGAAACAGTCTTGACTCTCAGACTACCTTTGGTTTTTGAATATTGCTCTCTAACTCAAAACCTAATTAGTTTGGTCTCTTCTGGATTTGTACAGATTCGATTCAGAAGTAACTTCTTCAGAGTGGTGATGATTAATTTACTTCAACCTAATCATGTTTTCTGTGAGTTAACTGAGGTGACATAAGAGCTGTGGTCTGTAGGCTTTTCATTGTTGAAAGGAGCTGTTTCCTGGTTTACATGCTTAAGGTTTTGACAGTATTCAGACTCTCACCTTGAAAAGTATGTTTCTTTTTCACTTAAAATGTGTTTTTTACAGGTTCTTGAAAGTTTGTGGCTCCGAACTAGTACGTCTTGAGTTGTCTTGTGGCCATTTCCTCAATGAAACATGCTTGGAGGTCATTACTGAAATGTGTCCAAACCTTCAGGAATTAAATCTCTCATCATGTGATAAAATACCACCTCAGGCGTTCAACCACATAGCCAAAGTAGGCAGCCTAAAGCGTCTCATTCTCTACCGAACAAAAGTGGAGGTAGGAATAAGTGTTTTTAACCTTTGCAATAGATATTTTCAGTCCTGGTGAAATTTTTTTTTTTTTTTTTTTTTTCTGTTAATGAAGAAGTGAATTAGAATTCAAAAGTAAATCAAGAAAATGCAAAGGTAGCTTCAAAATAAATAAAAAGCCTGCATGTTTTAACTTCTGTGGAAGACTGGTGATTCTTCACCAGCTGTTTTAAGCGATGCAGTAAAATCACAAATGTGAAAGCTTTTCTCTTGTTTTGAAGTGTACTGCAGACAGACTGTATTGTATTTGGCAATATAATTGGGGAATTATCCTGTTTAGTAACTCGCTGTAATTATCATTCTCTCCTTTAGAATGACTTACTAATTATTAGATCCTTACTGTCCTTGTATATTAGCAGTATTTGAGAAATGCAACACAATTTTTTTTTTAAATACATTTACAGTGTAAAAGTCACTTCTTTATACAATTCCCCAACTGCCCAAATCAGGGTTATTGTTTGCTGCAGCGTATTTCCTATCTAAGTTGGAGTGGTTTTACACACTACAGTTGAGAAGACTGCTGTAGTTTACTACATTTTACAAATGTTGTCTCCTAGTAAATTCAGCAATTCGAATCAGAAGAAATTCCATTACTTCTCACTGACTACATTACTCGTGTATTACAACCTTGCTGCTCTGTTTTATATGGAAGCTCTCGTGCTTCTCTTGTTGCAAAAGCTACTCCTTGGTAGAGCTCCAAAATCGGGGGGGAAAAGGTCTCTGCAGTTTCTTTCTAGCTTTTCCTTCTAGGTTAAACATTTTAAGAAGAGTTTGCTCATGTGTGTTACTTCTGCGTATGCTTTTGGTACACAGAAGCAAGGTTATGACACTGGATCGTGTGGGGTGTTAAGCTGTAGTGTAACAGAAGAACTGAAGCTGGTACAGTAGGTTCTGTCTAGTAAATGTCTAAGGGACATCTGAACGTAATAGTACCTGATTTAATTTACAAGCAGTTCGCACCGAACACACATGCTACAAAGTCAGTTGCCTTTTGCTGTCCTTTTTTTGGTAAATCATATGTACATTTGTGTCCAAGGTTTCGCTAGCTGTCTGTAACGGTGATTTGGTAATGCAGGGTGGTTAGATTAAAGGGTAGGCTGCCACCTGGAATGCTTGGCGTTTGTTGTGGGGTATGCAGGCAGTCACCATGAAGCCACTGCCCCTCAGTAACTTGGTTACTTTGTGGTAGTTGCGCTGTGCATTGAAGCAATTACTATTTTCTTCAAACTAAAAAACCAATTTGGTGAGCCCTGCTTTGAAGTGCCTTTTGTATAGAGCTCTGAATCAGTACCTTGGGCATATCTGTTCTGTTTGTATCTCACTAAACTTTCTGTAAATCTTCGATAAATCTTACCTCACGTTGAGCATGTGCTCTGTACTTCACAAGGCTTTTTCAGATCCAAAAAGGTCATTGTATCAGAGGTAAAGTTTGCGTAACTTTTTTTTCTACAGTTGATTGATCACAATCTGCTTGATTCTACTCAGGTAACTTCTAAAGTTGGAGACCTTTGTGTTTGTAATAGTGCAGCAGCTGAGGTATACTCTGAAAATGATTGGTAACTGTCATTTCTCAGCTGTCACTTCGCTGAACAGAACTTGAAATTAGGTTGAATGTAAGTGGTAAAGATTTCCAGACTTTGAAGCCCTTAAATTGTGAAGATTCATTTCTGCCTTTCATGTGTACAGACATGCATCTGCTTGTAGCTGACAAGAACATTCATTCATAATCAAGTTGACTTCAGATTGTGCTTCCATTTTGTACTTAAGTATAAACAAAATGCACTGTTCCTAACAAACCACAGAAGAGAAATATCTAGAAATTTAAATAGGTAAATTGGAGAGGATGCTATTGTGTTACTTGTTAATGTGAAGCCACTTAATAACATACATCGTCCATCACAGGTGGAAAAGTAGAAGGGAAAGAATGAAGATGTAGCATAGGATTTGAGTTAGAGGATCAGAGTTACAAAAGTCACAGATTTGTAGAAGTAACATTAACTTTCTCGCCATTAGCTTCTCTTAATGAAAATCTTTGTTTTTCTATATGAAATAGGCTGCCTTTCCTTCTGTACTCTTCAGCTGGTATGGAGATGTTAAGTAGTAACTGATGTCTAGATGCGCAGAAGACAGGACAGAGAAATTCATCAAGCATGCTCTGGAGTGATTTAGACTTGCCTAAAGCTTGTCAAAGAACTGCAATATAGTAGTGTTCTGGTTCTTCATTATTTGAGCTTCTAAAGAGCAAATGAGAAGAAAGATAATGTTTAATCAAGAGCTCGGCATTGTATTGTTGCCAGCTGGACCTGCTCAGGGAGAAGAATCTGAGGCCATGAATCCAGTAAGGAAAACTGCTAGCTGATAACAAGCATGTGATTATTAAGAGAAAGCAAGAAGGTGAGAACAACAGAGCTGACGTGCACGTTATGGTCCTCTGAAAAAGTTCTGCCTCAAAATCCAGTAAGGGGAAACCCAAAGAAAAATCCACTTATTCCATTTAAACCACTGTTTTCCTAAATAAATCAGTGGTTTGCTTTTTTTCTTAAGAATAAAGAACAAACATAATAAAGCGCTAAGTCTCTTGACTTACATTTTCTTCTTGCATCATATTGTAGGATGGCAAAGGCACAAGTCCTGCCATCAATGTGTTGTCATTTTCTGTGACAGAAAGATGGCAGCCTTGTTGATCCTGTGTTAGCTGCCTTGATGTAAAAATGGGGTGATATCCTTCTGATATCTCTGGGGATTTTGAGGTAATTACCAAAATGTGAAGAGGGAATTAATATGCAGAGACCAAGTAGGCAAAAAGTTGACCAAAATTAGTTCTCCAATGGGGTATCATAATTTTCTTCGTGTATATCTTACTGCACAATTAGAGGCAGTCACTGGAATTGAAGCACAGTAAAATTAGGTTGAGCAAAGAGGGGGACTACCTTTAATGCTTGTAAACAGTCTGAGGAATTTATTATCATGGCTGATCAAGGTGAACAAGTTGAATTAAGGGAAGTGATTGTATTTTTTAAAAGGGGCAACACTAAAGAGAACAAGAAGAGCAAAATAGGACTAAATGCTCTGATTGACTTTTAAAGGAGGGCCCCTCTCTGCATGTTATTTGTGATGCCAGTGAAAAAGGGGTCATTTTCTACTCCACAGTTGTCAATCTCTGTTGAAAATGCAGTGTTGTGTTAGAGAACGTCGGGGTAAAAGTAGGACTTGTTCTTTTGGTTGTGAATTTGGGCGTGTGGCTAAATAACATAGGATATGCGATGAAGATTCTCTATCCTTCTTGTCAGTATGTTGATACAGCTGTTTGTGGTTTTGCGCAATGCTTTACACAGTACAGCATTAACATTTTAGTAAAAGAAATTATATTTTGATTCAGTGAAAACAAATTCCCACGTACCTGCCCAGGTGTAGGATCTCCTACTCAGACTACATCTTGCAGTACTCTTTCCTTTTATTTTGGGGGGGGTTTAATGCCAAAAAAAAGAGAAAAATTGCTTTTAAGATTAAAAGTATTTATTGTACTTTTCTGTTTATGTGATTATTATGACAGTAATGGATGAATTCTGAGAAAATACTCTGCAGAAAATTGACTACTGTTCATTATTTTTCCCTGGTAGGTACGGAAAAACAGATTTTGAGGGAAACAGAAGCTTAATAAAATTGACAACGTATTATGTAATCACCTGAGCAGTTGTTAGGACAGTTCCTTGTTATTTTAGCTGTTTTCTTTGTATAGGTTTTGTATTTAAAACCATTCCCATTGTCTCTGTAATCAAAGCTCCAAAGTGTACATTTTCAGTGTAACGAGCAATTCCGGTGGTCTGCTACTTACTATCTGTGGCACCAAAAGCACTGCATTGCTGGTTTGGAAGGTCGCTGTACCATCTGGAGGAGTTTATGGTCTTTGGTCCTAGCCTTGCTGATTCTTAAGGCCATATAGAATTTTATTTCCTTGATTTATTGAGTGCAAGCTTCTTTGTACAAAACCAGTTTCAAACCTCTGAAGGGAAGCTTCCAACACCCTTGAATTATTCCAACTTCTCTGTTACAAGGAGGAAAGTCCAGTGACTTTCAGCAACTTTTTCCAGGCTGAACAAGAAAAAAACCAAGAAAAATCGTCCTGCATCACTGTATTCTTCCCTACTAAATGCAGCTCATTTTTTTCCAGTGCTTTAAGTTCATTATTCTTAAAGGTTGTTTGATTCTGTGTGTGCTTGAAATAATCTGTAACTTGCTTTGAGAAACTAATCCCAAGATTTTATAAATGTAATTTCTGCTAGCTCAAGATCGCTATTATACTTGGGGGATTTTTGTGGTGGTTTTGGTATTTGCTGATACATGACTCCTTAACATTTATTCATTGAGAGAGCATTCACAGCTAAATTTAAGCACTTGTTGGCATTGATACATTTGAAGAACACAATGAACAATGAAGGTATTATTGTGTACAGCAATTGGCAATGCACAGCTTTATGGTTTGAGTATGAATATTATCTTGTTACAATGCTTATCGCGAAGTATTCCATCCATACAAATAATGCAGCCAAAACTGTATTTTAAAGAAACCAAAGCCACAATTACAATAGGAGAACTTGACAGTCTCCTTATTGCTGGCTGTAAATTTTGACGTAAGATTATATATTTCATGTTGCATGATATTCTGAATTCTTTATAATGTGTGAAGAAAAAAGTTTTGAAGTTTGTATTACAGTTATAATTTAAATACAAAATGAACTAAATTTATATCAAATTACAATGGACAAAGGACTTTGTTTTGCACACAATTTAAAGCAAGTGTATTTTTAAATTATATCTCGATATCTTTGACCAAGAGCAAATTTGGAACTTGGGCAGCTGTAAGAGAGGACATTGGAAATTTTAGACACCAAGCAGAGGCATAAGAATCTTAGCAGTAAATGTTACAGCTCTTACTTTCTTATGCCACGAGCAATGAAAGAGTTAATG